CCCCAAAACCCCAAAACCCCAAAACCCCGTGAATCACAATTGTTTATGCGATTAGGTAATCATGAAATTAAAATCAATTATTAATCATCAGTTAATCATAATTCGTTTTCAACTTTGTCAAGAGCAGAAATAAATCTAAGAGCTGCTTCGCTAACATTTCTTGGAATTCTCTTCTCCTTGATACCCATCATACCCATTAGCATTTGACCACTTGAGTTCACTTTGCTTTTCATTATAGAAGGCAGTTTAGTAGCTGAGTGCCCGTCTTAGGTCTGCTGATTAATTTTGTTCCTATAGGGGTCTTTTCTGAATTTGGATGGATATAGCAACTTCTAAGTGGCTAAACTCTCCTTCTACTCAATGAATCTCTTCCTTCTTGGAGCAATGCCTTCCTCAACTTTGTTTAACTCAGCCTTGACTTGTCCAACTATTCCTAATCCACCACCTATCATAGCCTAACTCATCATAAATGAAGACTGATTTGGGTATTGAGAAAGAGCACTGCTATTATTGTTATTGATATTGATGCTATTCTGTGCAAGACTTTTGCTAGCATTACCAAACATACCTTGATTTGGGTTCTTTAAGTTTAGAAGGGGTTGTGAATTAGATGGCATGAGGAATCTATTCGCTTGGCCCATTGAAGCGCTTTGATCATTGAATCTACTCGCAGCTAGGTTCTGTATAGTTTGGGATTTCTGGATGATTTCATTGGCTTTTTGCTGATAAATATTGAACACTTTGCCAAGCATCTCAATGTCCATCTAATTTTGCTTGAAAGCAAATCCTCTGCCTCCATCATTAGTACCGTTTCTCAATTAGTCTTCAGCATCAGATATTTACTTTTTAACACTTTCGATATAGGTCTTCTAGTCATTTTGAATTCTATCAACATCTAAAAATAGCTTCCATTCAGTTGATTTTTCATTTTCAACAATAGTCTCTTTTATCTTCTCTATAGCTGGATTGCTCTCGACTCTTCTCTTCAAAGCCTCAAAGTCAACTCCAATCAGTTTCTTGGAGTTATTCCCATTACCACTCTTAGCACTTCCGGTACCAGTAGTCACTTTAAAGCTTAATTTCGCTCCAGCAGATGCTTTCTCTTTGTAGTTAATAGGGTAAGACTCATCTGAATTTCCCTTTCTTAATGAATCGATATGTTGCCCAGTCGAACTATCCCAAATCTTGATTTTCCTATCATAGCTAGTGGATATCAGCAATTACTTATCAAATACTCTATTATCATTTTTACCAAAATTAAAATAGCTTACGTTAAGAAGTTAAGGTGTCTTATGCTCTCAATGTGCTCTTTGGTTCTCCACATGATAGGAGCTGTTTGATATTGACTATATGTAAACTCATCAAGAGAAGATGAATGTGGTTTCCTTGATGAATTCAGATTAATCGAGCTAGAGTCATTCTAATTGGTCAGATTAATCGAAGTGTGATTCTGATGCATATTGTAATGCTGAGACTTGTTTGTTGGGTCTCTTATTTCGACTTAGCTTATGATATCTTTGAATAAGAATGCTGAGATGTTGCCTCTTTCATCACCAATATACAGTATATCGTTTTTCTCATCATAGGCTATACAGTTAACTGCAGCTGGCTCGTTTTTATCAGGGTCAATATTCTACATTCTAAAGAAATAACCTTATTTTAATAATCTTACTCGAAGCACTTTTAGTATTTGTTTAAGCAAGGAGGTCCTATCCACAAAGTCAACAGACCATGATTATCAGTTGTAAAGAAAAATGGTTTTGTTTTCAAAGCATAAACTTCATTTAAGTCGCTCGAATCAAAGTAAGCAGGGTATGAGGCATCAGGTCTGCCAGTTTCAAGCTCATAGACTTTGATCTATCCTTTATTCAGGCCAACTATCAGATACTTCATTCCAAGTCCAACGCTTTTATCATTAGGGTTATGAAACCCTTATCCATCAAAGATATAAACTTTGGCAGTCTAGATCTCATAGTTTGCTATATTAATGGTTCTTCTCACTGCAGGTGTTCCAGTGAGTGAATCATCTTCATGCAGCTGAATCACTGAATTAGATCCCACTGACACTACCATTGACATCTCCTTAGTTCTCACTGCCATCAAATTAAGGATCTCGCAGTCATGATGCTCTTGTAAGGTCTTCATTAACTCTCCAGTAACACAGTTAAATACCTTAAGCTATCCCTTTGAGTCTCCAATTATAAATCTCTTCTAGTTTAGGTCCATGCAAAAAGCAGTTATTTCAGCACCATTGCTAACTATGTCATTCTTGAATATGTGCTTAATACTTCCGTTTAGAGCATTCCAGACTTTAACTGAGTCTAATACTGGTGTATAGAATTCTTGAGTATTGTGAATATACTCGCAGCATAATGGCGCTTGATCATCAGCAAGACTTGGATTCTGATTCTTGTCATATTCAAAGAAGAGTAACTGTCTACCTGCAATCAGGAGTCTTTTGTGCTACCAGATTGGAAGCATGTAGGATAGGTTGAATTTATATTGCTCAAAGTTCTCCTGAACATTAATGGTCTAAACACATTCAAAAGTTCTGATATCCCAGACTTTGCATATCCCATCTGCATCAGATGATATAAGCTGAGGGGTGTGATCAATTGCAAATACACAAACTATCGGGGCGTTATGAGCCTGAACCTTGAAAACTGGATTGTCTATGTAAGGGTTCCAAACATAGATATCATGATCAAATCCTGCACTAAATAGCAATATATGTTCACTGTTGAATGTCATAGATACAACACCCATAGTGTGCTCTGTATACACTCTTTTTTGTTCGCCTGTGATTGTATCCCATAGAATAACTTTTTTATCTAATGAGCAGGAGGCAAGATATTAAAGTTTTGGTAGCATAAGCAACTCTGTTACTATATCTTTATGACCAAAGTTGTCTTTTAGGATAGTTGATTAGAAATTTCCAAAGAGATTATCCCCATTTGGTGATGATATGCTCATTGGAGTAGCCTCAGTATTGCTAGTAGGTTAATGATTTTGCATACTTGATTTCATGAATGCAGATTTATTAGCCACAACAGATTAAACATCAGTGCTTGTTCCAAGGAATCCCACTGGTTTTGACTATACATTTATGATTATTATCGAATTATGATAATTACCTGTCTCAAATTCCAAACATTAATCATTCCATCTCTTTAGCCAGAGTATAGCATTTAGTGAACATCATCCCAGGCCATGCAATATTAAGGCTGTTTAGCTTTTAGGATCTTTATATCACCTTCATGGGCCTCATCGTTAATAATAGGATTAACAGGAGCAAACTGATTTCCATTATAGTACCAAGCTCTAATTAAGCTGTCATCAGTTGCAATGAGAAGCAAATTATTGTAGTCTTCTAGCCGTAAGTATACTATTAAATGGTTAAGAACTTCAAATATTTAAAGCATAATAGCATATTAAATTTAAAGTTACTTACTTAGACTCATAACGATGATCTTTTTCTTGAATTATGAATAGTTGAAACCACCAGATTTACCACCTCCACCACCAGATGCCTATAATATATTAAGCCTGCATAAATACTAATTTAGCAGCATCTACACCACAATCTAGATCTTTGCAGCCTCTTTCACCTGTCCTTGCATTCATAAATTAGATGGTATCAGATCTTTCCTCTACCAATGCAATCTTATCCAGTTCTTATATGAATACAGCTTTGTGTAAGGTTGTGCCTTTGCCTTCATCTTTAACCCCGCTAAGTGAGCTCTTCTTGTTACCTTTGTCCCCACTTCCTTTATCACCACTTTCTCCTTCGCCATTGGTTGTTGAACTTCCTCCACTACCCTTATTAGATTCTCGTTTATGCTTATCTTTGTCTTTAGGAGGCACATTTACAGCCATAGTCAGACTAAAACTCTTGATCTTTTCCACAGAGCCCATTGCTGAGGACATACTTGCAATATCATCTGATCCACCAGCTGAGGCAATACTTGACATTGCTTTACCAGCACCCTTTGATCCTCCTACTAGCCCACCAATAGTTGAGGCTTTGCTTATCAGATAATTAGAAAAATCCTCCCAAGTAATGATCTTATTATCCAATAAATCAATCTCTACAGTTAAAATAAAAATCCGATTGGAATTAATTAAAATGTTTCTATGAATTTCTAAATTTTACCATCATATATAATAGACAGATACTTCATTAGTCTTTCTTATCTATTCTCTGCTTATGGTTGCCATTATAGCAAATGATTTTTAAGACATCCAATAAACTAAAATTTGTATTAATTTACTAGTCTAAGTAGTTGTGTATATAACTGACCTGAGGTTTTGTAGCTCTGCCTTAATGAATGTCAAAATCTTTCTTGAGAAAATTGACTGTGAATGGATCGAAGTGCTTTATCAACTGATTAGTAATAATGCTATCATGCTCTCTTTATTTAGACAGAGTGGTTCTTGGAGAGAACACAAGATCATACTTCTTGATGAATTACTTGAATTCTAGCGAGTGATACTAGATTTTCTTCAAATTAGACATTTATTTGTATTGTGAATTTTATTTATAATCTCTTCGAATATTACCATTATGCAATCTCATGGGGTTTTGGGGTTTTGGGGTTTTGGGG